TACTGCTCCCAAGAAACTTCTCTATTTGAATCTACAATTCAACGGAGATTCTTCAGCAGAAATACTGAGAAACCGCCTGTGCCGTTCACTGAAGAAAACCTTCTTCGCAGCGGAACTCAGACTAACTTTCTCTACGAAACCAATGATTCGCACGAACGTGAAGGATAAGCTTCCACTGGGGGCCTCATCAATGTGCATCTACCAATTCACCTGCTCATGTGGAGCTAGGTATGTCGGCCGTACCCAGCGTTTGCTATCCAAACGAATCAGCGAACACTTACCTTCATGGTTTTATAAAGGAGAAAGAAGATCCCCCCGCCACAGCTCTATCCTAGAACACTTGATCGAATCCGGACACCAAGCAAACCCACAAAACAACTTCTCAGTTATCTACACAATACGTGGGAATCTTGCCAAAAGAGTACGAATTAAACTTCTTCAAACTGCAGAAGCAATGGCAATTCACATATTGAATCCTGAACTCTGCATACAAAAGAAGTTTGTTCAGTCACTAAATCTACAATGGTCCTGATCTATCTTAACACCAAATACGTAATTTTGTCTTACCTCTTTCTTCTTTGTTTGTCTATTTCTTAATTGCATTATTTTCTACCCCCACCCTCTATTGAATCTCTACGCTCATGACGACTGTTGCTAACTCGATTTTCGTTTATTTTTAAGTGAATTCTACTCAGATTATTAACTTGACCCTCATTCATTTTTTCATTGAACCCTATCAATTAGATTACGTCATCCAACCTACTTTTGTAACTTTATTTTAGTTTCTAACCGATTAACGCCTTCAAAATTACGTAATTTGTTTGTCAAAAACTAACAATTGCATTAACACATCTTTGGAAATATTCCTTTTGTTGCCAAGACAAATTACTATAAATTTGCGATTTGTACAGCTTGAGAATGATATCGCCGAAAAGAGTAACTCTTTGCTGAACACCTTTTATTTCCCTTAAAAGCTTTGAAGACCCCAAACAATTTGCTTATAGACAGGGTAGGAGCACTTTAGACGGTGCAGCAGCCTTACACAACAGTATCGTCTCATCATTAGATAAAAGTGCCGAATACATTCGCTGCACGTTTCTCGACTTCACTTCTGCTTTCGACTCTGTACCTAGATGTCTCTTGCTAAATAAGCTCTCTATGACACAAACTGAGTCCTGGGTCACTAACTGGTCGCATTCCTACTTTTCAAACAGAATGCAGTATACCGTACACAAAGGCGAATCTTCCCGTGCTGTGCTCACTAAAGCTGATGTCCCCCAAGGTGCTGTACTCCGCCCACTTCTCTTTTCTTTATTTCCACATGACTTACCATCTTCAAATGGCATTAATTTTGTCAAATATGCTGACGACCTGACTGTATCTTTACTTGTCAAATGCCAAAGTGACTGCTCTAAACTAAATGGCTTTTTATCAGAAATCAGCCAATGGTCCAAGGAAAACGGTCTTATCTTAAAGCCCTCCAAGTGCCAAACAGTCAATTTCACCTTTACGCATAAATCTGACCTAAACAAACTGGTTAGCACTCACGAAGTGTGCAACATAGATGGCACTAAAATAGAAACCAAGTCGGAAATTAAATAACCAGGCGTCATTTTATCTGCTGATTCTTCCTGGTTGTCTCATATCTTGATGATTTCTAAGAAAATATTCCTTCTAACCTTCCACATCGAGAAGTTAAGACATTCTGGTTTAACCCAACCCTTACTCCTACAATTCGCTAACTCTCGGATTGTTCGCTATTGTTCCCCCTTAGTTTTCCCAGGACTACTGAAGGAAGACTATACCTTATTACGCAGGATGTTAAAGGTTGTCAGCAGGGTAAGCAACGTGCCACTTAACCAGCTTGGTAATATTCTGGTCGCGAGCACTTGGACTCATGTGAAAAATGGGCTAAATCCATTTTATCTAACTCACACCACCCTCTTCATTCACAAATCTCCCCTTGTATCTCATCAGGCAAAATCAGAAGCCTATATAGAAAACTATATGCTCGCACTAGTAAGTACGAAAACTCAAACATACCCTACTTAGCTCGTGTTCTGTGCGATAAAGAAAGCATTAGGCATTATACCTATAACTTATTAAACAGTTAGTAGAACAAATGGGTCTCGTCTTTCGAACTCATATCATTTATACTTACAACGTTCTCTGTTATGTGCTGCTTTGTTCCTTTCTTCTGCTTACGCCAGTAAATATGCTAGCACCTACTTTTCTAACACCGTCAAACAGTGTTCAATTTCGGCTTTGCTATCGACATGCCAATATGATGTCATAACGAACTGATATATCCTTAAACTATATAGAATTTTATTTATTGATAATGTACTAACTGGATGCAATACTGTAGTAAAATGCTGAGAGTTCCATTCTGTATCACACGTACTGTGTTGGAATGAGGCAAATTATTATCAATATTAAGTAGGGATATGGCTCTTCAGACCCAAGTGTAAGGGTTCGGATTAGGACTATTCTTCAATTTCGGATCAGAGGTCAGTGATATCCTAGAAGGTAAACGTAGGTTGAATTAGGAGAATAAGGAACCAATAAATTGTAAGTGATACATACACCAACGATTAACAATCTCCTGCTCAGTATCAACCACATAATCGTGATTATCTGCATTATTTTGCTTTCTCACGAGTAAATCGGTGAATTACGAGTATATTGCAGCATTACACTGTAAGTGGAACGTTGACCTGCTTTTCTCACTCTCCTGCTCACTATCAACCACATAATCGTGATTATCTGCGTTATTTTGCGTCTCGCTAATACCTTGTTCCTTTCTGCTACTGGCTGCCATCAGCTGGAACAGCTTCCGACTGTAGCTGCTGACTCTATCTCACACACACGTTCTGACCACCAGGCTTCGCGGTCCTTACGTAAAGACTGTCTAATCTTGCATGTAAGCGCCTTTCGCATATTTTTGTATTCGCTGCCAGCTGGAGTGAACCAGTGTTCATCCAGGAGTTGCAAGGAACTCGCACGAACCCAGTAGTTTTCAGCAGATTATTCTTTTAAGCAGCAACTGGTTACACTCACCATGGCACTTTGCGGATGAAGCCAATCATACTAGTTGAGGGGTTCCTAGCACGCACTGACTGTAACTCATTCTGGTATTTCAAAGAGGTAGCAGGTGCTACCAGTTTGCCCACATCAACATTCACATGACGCCTTTTATGAACTCCACCAAATTGCAAGACGAATCTGGGACAAACCAACGCATAGTCGGAGTCCAGACATGTGCTCCAGTCTTGTATGCATCCTCGCCACCGGAAACTAACAGCGATATGATCAGTCAGAATACAAACTTGATTCGCAGGAGGGCGCCAGGTAGCATTACGGCGATGGCTCTGCGGAAAGTTTGGGTTAGCCAGAAATAGCTTGTGATTCGCGCAAAGCTGAAGAAGATGGTCCCCATTATATGACCTGCGACCATGCAAATCCCACTAACTACCTGGACGATTCTCCTTTGATCTTAGACGCCCGAACCGTGCATTCAGGTCCCTCTGACGCACTTGTTCCGGAAAATTGCCCAGCTAATAGTAGAACTCATCCTTAATTGCACCCGAGCTACAATCCGTCGGTGCGTAAGCAAAGACAACAAATAGGCACCGCCTTTCTGGCCTACCACTCCTTACTTTCGTATAACCGTCCAGCCTCATGACGACACAAGCGACTGTCGAGTAGTGCAGCTCAGGCACTTAGTGCAATACTGACACAGAGTCCCCGGACAAGCGCAGATGGTACATACTATTCGAACTTTCAGGTGGAGAGGATGATCGAAGCACTTTACTGGGGTCTTGAATGCGGGTCTCCGAAACGCAGCGGACATCGATAGCCATGCTTTCTAATGTTCTTACTAAACCCGTTTCTTGTCCGATTCGCATCAGTGACCGAACATTGTAGGTGTCAAGCTTGAACGCGACTTTCAGGATATCTGTGTTAGGTGTAACACTGAGGACAACCATTTTGAAGGCTACCCACTAACATCTCGAAACAGCACAGATAGGCTGGGACTTCATATAAAAGAGAAAAGCTGACAAAAGTGAAAACGCCAAGGATAGCAAAAGTAAAACACAGGAGTCTTTGTATAAAAATAAGGTTGAAAAGAAATGCGTCTCTTGAAACATCATTAATGTTCGAGAGCATTGTTAAGAGCGCACAATTAATTTCACTGATACATCGTTTCATTCCATTGATTGTATGAGGGCTGAGACACTCCCTAGGAGCTCAAACCGAAGCAGGTGGTTGTCTTACGGGACCACCTCCAGACCCTTTAACTTGGAGTCTAATCCGCAATGCAGCATCAGGAGCTACGTTCCCAAGGTTGCCGGTGGCCGAAACAGGTTCATACACCATTTGATCAGATTGGATTCTGGGGCCCATGTACCCTATAGTAACTGCCAGCCACTACCCAAATAACGTTCCAGACATGGTATGACCTGAAGGAACACAACTTCCAGTCAGTTTAGCTTGTCGGGTCACTGTTGTATTCAACCCCGAGCACTACGACAGGGTAGCAGTTGTCAGCCGGGACCATTAATTTTTCGATACTTCCCAGTGTCTCATATACGACTGCCAAAAAGTGGATCCCTTTTATTGATATCGAATATCACTGAAATAAGAGAAGTTTCAGGTAAAATTGCCTTACTAGATCATAGCTGACTGACTTTCTCAATCATGATGAAGTGAACAATTAACCCTGATGGAAATGAAAATGCTGATACATTAACGGATTCGTTCTTAACAAATCAGGCATTAGACGTACTGCTCGGTCAAATATATCTTTTAAAAGACAGATGAACAACTTTGAGCTTTTATTTTCCCGCGATATATGATGAGGAATTGAAGTGGTGCTTAGTAAAAGACAGTATAGCTGGTCAAAATTAAAAATACAGAAAAAGCTACAGTAAAAGCAAAGATTAAATCATTTTATGTACAACGATCACTAATAAATAACTGAGAAATAGAGATATCAATTAATTTCTACTTGGATTTGTACACAAAATCTGACTAAGTCTTGGTTCTGGAGCATATTTTTGCCTAGGACGACAAATATGATTAATCGTATATGCTTTATTTTTCGAATGCTTTGAACAAATTTGAGGTTCTTGAAATCGTAATATAACTAATTTTGTGGGCTCCATACCGATTCGGCTGCCAGCAGCACATATTAAACGTTCTTCAGATGCAACTATACGCCAAATAACTCCACCACGCCCAGCTCCATCAAGTCTTAACAAATCTCGAATGTATGCACCGGACCGCTTATCCCAAAGCTTAACGGTACCGTCATCACCTGAAGATATGATGAAATTACGTGTCAACTGGACACAAGTAACAGCTGATTGATGTTTGTGAGGGCCTATTAACGTAAGAATTACACAGTAAGGAAAGAATTTTTAAACAGTTTGTTTGAAGAAAAACAGACAGGGCAAGCGATACCACGAACTTTAGTTAAATCATATAATCTGAAGTCCTTAGAATATGAAGTGGCCAACGAAGCGTGTAAAAACATATGAATACAGCTAATTGGTAATTCCCAGGCAAACTGCATAGATTTTAGCAACCACAACTCGCAGCACAGAACAATAAAACCAATGATTAAAAGAAAAAGAAAGCATAGGCAGACAAATAAGTGATATTAAATGCGATGATTTAGATTAAGACATATGGTAAATACATCTCAGTCATAATAAACGATTCAAAGCAAATGTGCTGCTGATCAAGCAGATCACATATTTCCATTTGAATAATTTCGGTTTCCAAATGAAACTACAGTGAAATATCACCACAAAGTGCGTAAACTGAAAATTAGTTCGCAAATTGCGAATGTGATTCATAGTGTAACCACTTCACCCAAGCAGCTAGCCAGAAATAGGGTGATTTGGAGTGATTCAGATCTCTGAGCTAAGTCGAATCGGCTAACCCACCAATTAAACGAGCGAAATGGTCATCCGGTTTTTCGATCAATTCGACCTAACGTGAGTGGTATACAACTACTTATCTCAATTAATCAATAGTATAGAGTTTTACGCGTGCTGCTAAGGCATTCAAGCACATTCAATCACAAGTTCAGATTGATCCTGAAATATTTGAATAGACTAGAAACATGCTTTATAACGTCAGCCAATTATTGTAAACAAGAGCAGCGTCTACGACCAGAATACCTCAATCATCCCTGCAGAATAAGATGAATCCATTTTATTTCGTTGGTTCTCATTAGCTGCATATAACCTATAATTTTTAATAAAATAACTCAGTGTACAATTTTAATGTACTTATGTCTATTGACAGGCATAATGTAAGAGAATCATGGTGAAATAAAATAACACGATGATAAGTATCCGAAGGAATACAGTGTATATATGTATACCTTGTTAAGGAGAAGTTTCTCAAGACACTAACTGACGAATTTGTTGCTAGGTTGATAACGAAAATTAGCATCAATTACGTAGCAAGGTAAGAGAAGATCGAAATTTCGAGTGTATGAGGTCAAGTGAGATGACGATATAATACAGTGAGGTGAAGGTCAAGAAAAATGATCTCTTATTAAAAGACTGCGGTTGAAATTAGAAAACAAAGCGTTACTAAGGAATGAGTCATCAGAGCAATTGAAATTCAATGACAGAATCCTTTGGAACACAAAGATTAGGCTTCAGCCGTTTTATTGCGATGGCTTCATCAAACCGAACTAGACTTGAGCTGTTTTGTCTGTTAATTATTTTGAGTGATTTCATAGTGTCTACTCAGTGTTCTGTGTTTATCAGGTGTTTGATGATCGAAGAGCTTAAACTGTTTGTAACGACAAAAGAGTCAGGCAACAGATCGTTTATTAAGGAAATTAGCACGTATTTATATATATTTCCTGTACATTATCATAGCTTATTCAAGCAGACAAACACAGTCTTCTGATTGGTTGTTTCTTACAGAAAGTTGACTTCGAACCTCTTTGTGACTGTTTCTTGAATGTCAGATAATCTATACGTCAAGTCAGCTGTGATTGGTTGTTTAATCAGTCTTGTTCATATTTTCTTACCACCAATATTTGCGACATACCCACTGACGTAAATGCTGTCTACCATTTTTGGCTAGCCTGCTCTCAACACAATATGGCTCCTTTAACCGGCAGCTCCTTGTTACATGTTCGAAGATTCTGACGTAGGCCCTTCTTTCTCTTCTTCCAATGTAAGTGCTCAAGCAGATAGATGTGAATTAGTGTACACAGTTGGAGGTAAAATATGACGGATACATGTCCATCTCTGACTACATCAACGGAGAGTATGTTCGGAGCCGCAGGATACGTTCTGCACAGGACTGTGTTCAATCTTTTATTTATTTTATGACTCTTATGATATCATCTTCTTTGAAGTCGAGTTCGATGAAAACCAGCTTCTTGTTGACCGCAATAACATCAAGTTTCTTGAGTTCAGTAATATCATGTTTGTTGATGAAGCTTCGTGGGTAACGATTTTCTTTGAAGCAATTCTCAAGCAACATTAGTTTACTGTCCGATTTGTCAGTTGAACATATTGTTTGCTCTAGAGGAAAAGCGTTTTCACCAGAGTTCATTTGTAACTGATTGGACAGAGGCTGTTGAACTTAAGGTAGAGACCGATCTCTGTGTGCTTACGATTTATCGATTTTTCGAATGTCCCATCTTTTTTTCTCTCCAAGATATCCACGAAGTGGAATTCGACAGCATCTTCGTGCCCTGTCATGAAATTGACAATCTTATGTACATTGTTGAATAAGCCCAATGGAGATGGAAAGTGACCCAAATCCTTGCATACAATCATTGTGTCATCTGAGTACCTTAGTAACGCTTTGTTTTCTAATTTCAACCGCAGTCTTTTAATAAGAGATCATTTTTCTTGACCTTCACCTCACTGTATTATATCGTCATCTTTTCACTTGACCTCATGTACACCAAATTTTTATCCAAAGCCAGAATATGACAGTTAACAGTACACTTGAAGTTGATTAACAAGGAAATTAATCGGTTGATAATATGCCCTGGAATTTATGCAAACACAAAAGTATAAGTCGCTTGGAGGCTGTAATTTTATGTTACTGTTCAAAAACGAGATAAGTAACATCAAATAACGACAAATGAACTCTATACACATTCAGGGAAAAATACCTGAGGCTGATTTAGTGTGCAGAATGGGAAGAATTTACACTTACCAGCAAGAATATGTATGCATTTCCCAGTATGGATATGCCATACCCGAATGGTTTCATCTGCATTACTTGAAACTAAAATATTTTGTTCAGAACCAAAAGCCAATTCACTAGTCAATGAACGGTGACCATAAAATGTTTGCTCCAGTTGGCCTGTTTGCACATTCCATATACGTATAGTTGTATCTAGTGAACCACTGATTATATGATAACCGTCAAATAATAAGGTATAAACACGATTTGTATGAGCACTAAATACACGCAAACAATGACCTTGTAGTGCACACCATAAACGAATTGTACAATCATAACTACCAGATACGATTTGATCACCTGTAAACTGGACACAACGTATGGCACCACGATGACCTTGGTGGAAGTGAAAAAAGGGACAAGGAATATTCTACGAATTGAATGCTATATATAGAGCAAACAAGGTAGGTATAAAACCATTCAATGAGAAAAACTAGGTTTCAATGAAACACTCGTTAAATGAATGCCACTACAGTAACATAAGGAAAAGACAAGGTCGTGCAATTAAATCCACCTTTAGTTAGAACTCATTTACTGGGGACTTTCCATGTACCCGGCTATCAGCAACACTTACTCTGCAAAGGTTAGTGGTACTTATCAGTTGCCAAAGATCAAATAGGTGGAAAGGGACTCGAACCTAGGGCTGATTGGTTGAAAGGTCAGTGCTATAGGAAGTCACCTACATTGCCACAACGAATTAAGCTTGACACACATTTTTCAACACTTTAAGTGGTTTGTTACAATAAACTCTCGGAAACTGATGGCATGGCGACCTGTTTGACATCTGGGCTACCTTTTCCCTGCATCTAATAAGTCATGTTTTCATCCCAATTTTAATAAAATATGATCGCAAATCGCATAAAATACAGTAATTCATTCATTAAACGTTTTAAACCATATGACTTTCATGCATCTAATAAATCTAAGAGAAAACAGCGTGCACTTAAACAGACACCTTTATATCGTACAACCATTCCTGTTATTGTCACTTCAAACTGCCGTTCACTTCCCAACAAAATTATGCATCTCCAGTCTCTCTTATCATCTGATACTTATCACAATACGGCGATTGTTGCATTACAAGAAACATGGCTCCATGAACTCTATGATGACAATCTGGTTTCCCTAAATGGTTTTACATTGTTTAGACAAGATCGACTATGCTCCAGAAAGAAAAGAGGTGGAGGTGTTGCAACTTTCATTCATTCTCAATGGTCAACTTCAAATAATGTATGTTTTTCTTACTCTAATGACTTTATTGATTGTATAACGGTCAAATGCCGCCCGAAACACTTATCCAAGTTTAAATACGTCTTCATCTCTAACATTTATGTTACTCCTGGCTGTTCTGCATCTGATCTATCTGATTTTGCTGATGAATTCACTGAATTCGCCGTTACACATCTTGAAAACTCTTTATCAGTTGTCACAGGAGATTTTAACTGCTGTGATTGTTCTTTCCTCGTATCATTAGGTCATGCCAATATTGTTAAATTCCCTACTCGACTTGATAAAACTCTTGACCTAGTGTTCATTAATGATGAGGAAATATATGAAGTACGCCGACGTGCTCCTATCATGAACTCAGATCATTGTATTATTCGGATATTACCTAAGATATACAGCAGATCTCACTTTATCTTCTCAAATCTGTCCAAGAAAACACAGCAAAGGTGTTACTCACAAGAAAATATGCTCAAACTAAGATGTATGCTAAATGACACTAACTGGGAACTTTTCAACGAACACAAACTGGATGATACTATTTCCAATTTGACTGACTATCTTAAATTCTGTCTTGATATATGCTGTCCAAAACAGATAATTTTCAAAAGAATGGATCGTTTTTCTTCCCCTCATCTCAAAAAACTTCGTAGAGAAAAAGAGAAGCTGTACAAGACAAAGAATAAATCTGGTCTTAAGAAGATAAACACCCAAATTAAATCTGAAATCAAGAGACTAAACAACATTTATAATCAAACAATACTATCTTGTAAAACCTCAGAAAACATATGGAAGCTTTTTAGAGAAATTACTGGTTGTGGTAAGCATAATAATTTTGCCTCTTCTATTGATGTAAATACTCTCAATAGATCTTTCATCCGCCCTCCAAATGTCCCTTCTGCCTTCAATTTAACTAATAACACGACCAGTGACTTTCATCGTTTCAATACTTCTGATGTTCTTAAATGTTTGAAATCTCTTAAACCTTCCCAGAGTCTAGGCCCTGATGGTATACCTGCCATTGTTTTAAAGAAATGTGCTGATATTTTAAGTAACCCACTTACAAGCATTTTCAATACTTCTTTTTCTAATAATAATGTACCTTCTCTGTGGAAAGATATTAAAATCATCCCTGTACCCAAGTCTGGTTCTGGAGATAGTGTTAAGTTTAGACCAATTGCCATTACCTCTCCTTTTTTGAAACTGATGGAGAAATTACTGTTACAAAAACTCATTCCCTCCCTAAGCTTCTCAAACGATCCAAAGCAGTTTGCTTACAAACAGGGTAGAAGTACTTTGGATGCTGCTGCTGTTTCATCACAACATTGTATCCTCCTTAGACAAAGGGGCCAAGTATGTCCGTTGTACTTTCCTTGATTACACATCTGCTTTTGACTCTGTACCTAGAGGCCTTTTGTTAAACAAGCTTAGCCTTACACAAACTGAGTCCTGGGCTATCAACTGGCTGCACTCTTACTTCTCCAATAGGATGCAGTACACGGTATATAATGGTGTAGCTTCCTCTCCTTTGCTTACTGAAGCTGGTGTTCCTCAGGGTGCTGTTCTCTCGCCGTTTCTCTTTTCCTTCTTCTTACATGACTTACCTCTCTCAGACGAAATCAACTTCGTCAAATATGCAGATGACCTGACTGTTTCGCTTCCCGTTAAGTCTCAGTCAGACTGCTTCAAATTAAATAGCTTCCTGTCGGACATCAGTCAGTGGTCTAAACTAAATGGCCTAACGCTGAATCCCTCAAAATGCCAGACTGTCGACTTCTCCTTTAGGCATAAACGAGATCTACAAACACTAGTAAGCACTCATGATGTCTGTAGAATTGAGGGGACTATAATTGAAACAAAGTCTAATGCAAAATACCTCGGATTAGTTATATCTTCCGACCTTACTGGTCATCTCATATCCAAATGATTTCCAAGAAAGTGTTTCGTCTAACCTACTACATTAAGAAACTCAGACTAACTGGAGTCCCTCAACCTCTGCTTTCACAATTTGTCAACTCTCGTATCCTACCTATTCTACTTTACTGTTCCCCGTTAGTCTTTCCTGGGTTACTGAAAAAGGATTATACCATCCTGAGAAGGATGTTGAAGGTAGTTAGTAGGACTAGCGGTGTAAAACTCAGTCAGCTCGTCACAACATTAGTGGATAAGCATCTGAATACATGTGAGAAATGGTCTAAAACCATACTCTCTGACCCCCAACACCCCCTCTATTCCCAACTCTCTCCTTGCATCTCATCAGGTAGAACCAGAAATCAGTACAAAATAATATATGCTCGTACAACCAAGTATAGGAACTCAACGATACCATATTTGGCCCGTGTTCTAAGTGACAGAGACAATGTTAGGCGTGAAACCTATGACTTGCTTTGTTGTTAATAACATAATTTTGGCCCTTGTTATTTCCCCCTTATACTCTCTTATTTGTACTCTATAGTGAACAACCTTCTTAAACATACTTAGCTGCTTAAAATTATTATCATTGGCTTACTTTTTTTGTACTTTACTCTATTCCTTCTTTTGTATATCTACTGGGTCCGACTATATTATCACTATGATTATTAAAAATTGTCCCGTCATTAACCATCATGTAACATTAGTTTTGTGGTTGTTCTTTGTTCGGCACTATTTAACTGACAATCTTGTTTGTTAACGCCACTATCACCATCTTAAAAAATTTTGTATTATGCATGATTCCTCACACTACCACTACAAACACTGCATTAGTGCTGACAATAAAAAAAACACAACCTGAAATGTTTATTTTATGATTGTTTAGTGTTGTTCAATCAAATTAACTGATCATCTTGGCTATAAACATTCTTAAGAACATCTCATAATTTCTTGTATGATTATAGCTGTTACTGTTCACCACGCATACACATATCATAGCTTCCACTAACCAATACTGAAATATTTTTTTTCATTATTTGTGTTTATCTTCCTTTCTACTTGGTATTTTTTATTTGCATTTTTTTTCTTTTGTTATTTCTTGTTTCGTTTTTTGGTTTATTTTTGTCGTGTTTTTTTATATTTATTTTTTTTGTAATACTCCTTTTTAATGTACGATGAAATTAGATGCAATATTGTAGATATGTGCTGAAAATTCCACACTGTACCACAAGTACTGTTTCTGGAATAAAGCGAATTGTTATGTTATGTTATATTTACCACAAAATAGTACTACCAATCATAAACTGATCACTTACTTAGCTGACAACTCAACATATCTCGCTTGAATTATCAAAAATGTAATCTATAAGAACTAATGATATGCAAAAATTAAGTATAAGCCAACAACCACTATAGACAAATTCAAGGATTCTTGTGTTTTTCAACAGGTGCATTGTGCTCATACAACTTGAGTGAAGTTTACTAGAAAATCTAGATCATTAAATTTTAACTCATGGGGCTACATCACCGAGACGCTTAACACTGTTTGATATGATCTTCTAAAAACAGTTGATATTCGCAGTTGGACAGTTCTAGCTTATAACGCGATAGCTGCTCGGCAGCTTGTATTTCTAAAAGTTAACGAATTGCCAACAAATTGTGGAAGAAATCATAGCTCGTCTTTATATAGTTATAGTTAATAGTTTAAAAACTATAAGTAAATAAAATTGGAGGTGATGGATATTTGGCAAAAATCAAAATGTGAAAATCGACAATAAATGATATACATGTACGGTTGACTGTAATGTTTACCTTAGTCATGATTACATGAGTAAAGTTTCCGAAATCACTGCTAAAATGTTGAAGCCTTCTAAAAGATAAGTGACTCGTCGACTGCATACAAGACAAGAATGTATCTAACAAAATTATGTTATCATTCGACATTGAGTTACTTTTCACCCATGTCCCACTCACGGAAACGGTCTGCTTCATATGCAGATATATAGATGACAGCCATCTCAATATTGGAATACCAACAACATATTTGAAGGAATTACTATTGAGATGCACTCTGAACGTCCAGTTCACATTCAACGACACCATCTACAGACAAAAAGATGGTATTGCAATGGGATCTCCGTTGGGTCCATTACTATCAGACTGCTACGTGGTAAGCCTTGAGAGAGGTCCACTAAAGCCAAGCACTGACAATTTGCGACTGTATAAAAGATCCGTGGACGACATTTTTATTATTTGTGACAACAACAACGATCCCAATCATCTGCTGAAGACACTTAACAATTGCCATCCAGCAATAAAATTCACTCCTGAAATGGAAAACGAGTCAAAAATTCCGTTTCTTGATGTGGAACTAACAAGAAGAACTGATGGGAGTCTAAGAAGATCTATCCATAGAAACCCTACGTGGAATGGTCAACTAACAAGCTTCTATAGCTGGGTACTCATTCAACAAAAGCGGAATTTAATTAAATCACTGGCCACCCGCATCCGACGCATCTGTAGTCCCGACGTTCTGGAAACAGAATCAGATATTCCAAGAGAAATCTTCATCCAAAATGGATACCCAATAAGATTCATCGACAAAAAAATCAAACCAGTAATTCGGAGAAACGAAACCTTAATTGCGCCTAAAAAGAAACTCTACACGAACTTGGATTTCAAGGGAGATTTAGCAAGCGATATTCTCAAGAGAAGGATCACATCGTCTCTGAGAAGAACATTCTTTGCAGCAACGCTAAGAATAGTGTTCTCCAGTCGCCCACTGATTTGCAGCAGCCTCAAGGACAAGATCCCGCATCTGACCATTTCTATGCGCACATATCAGTTCACCTGCTGCTGTGGAGCCGGGTACATCGGTCGTTCGACGTGCACCCTGTCCAAGAGGATTCAAGAACACTATCCAGCATGGTTGAGAAAAGGCAATAGTTGTGCAATAAGGAGTGCGATAATTGAACACCTGGTTAACACTGATCATTCCATTTCAACAAACGCCTCCTTCAAAGTAATCTACAGAGTCAAGAATAACCTATCAAAAGCAATACGGTTTCGTCTTCTTTGTATCGCTGAAGCTCGGGCCATTCACATAGAAAAACTGGAGCTGTGCATACAAAGGAATATTACTCAACCACTTCTACTATCATGGTAACAACCTTTTTTGTTTTGATTTGAGTTTGTTTTTTGATTTTGATGACCTGATTTTGTTTCTTTGCCTGTTCTTTAATTGACAGAAGACAAGTAGTTCAGCGAAGAGTCTCTTTTCGGCGAATTCATTTTCATAGCTGTACAATCGCAAATATATATGGTTATTTTGTGTGTGTGTGTGTGTGTATACATTAAATTTGTCAAACGAAAATACAATTAGTAAGTTCAGATGAATTGGATGTTGATAAGAGGATAGCAACAAAAGTGATGAGTTGTCATAAATGATTGTTAAATAAGAGTTACGTAATGGCATGAATAGTTTGATGAATGAGTTGTGCTCAAAGGGTGTACATGGAAACAAAATAATATACAGAATTATACAAGGGTTTTAAGTTAGAAAAATAAGCATACAAACAGAAGTTAGGTCAAATCAACGGAGTTGTTACCATGCGAGTAGAAGTGGTTGGATAATTTTCTTTTGTATGCATAGTTCTGGTTCCACCAACTGGATGGCTAGGGCTTCTGCGATGCAAAGAAGACGGAATCGTACTGTCTTTGGAAGGTTGTTCTTCACTTTGTAGATTACTTTGAAGGAGGCGTTCGTTGAGATGGAATGACCAGTGTTGACGAGATGTTCGATTATTGCACTCCTTATATGGCCATTATTTCCTTTCTGTAGCCACGCTGGATAGTGTTCTTTGACCCTTTTTGACAGGATGCGCGTTGAACGACCGATGTACCTGGCTCCACAGCAACAGGTGAACTGATATATACACATAGAAGTGGTCATGTGCGGAATCTTGTCCTTTGGGTTTCTGCAGATCAGCGGGCGACTGGAGAACACTATTCTTAGTGTTGCCGCAGGGAAAGTTCTTCCTAAAGAGGTGGAAATTCTCCTTCTGAGGACGTCACTAAGTAGGTCTCCTTTGAAGTCTAGGTTCATATAAAGTATCTTTTTTGGCACGGATGGTGTCTCTTGCTTTTGGTTTTTCTGTTTGATGTTTTTCTCTACGAATCTTGGTAGGTAGCCATTTTGTATGAAGATTTCCCTCAGGAAGTTTAGTTCTTCTTCCATGGTATCGGGGCTGCAGATGCGTCTGACGCGAGTGGCAAGGGATTTAATTAGGTTTCTTTTCCGACTGATTGGTACCCAGCTGTAGAAACTTGTTAATTGTCTGTTCCAAGTCGGTTTCCTATGGATTGACCTTCTTAAAGTTCCGTCATCTCTCCTTGTAAGCTCAACATCAAGAAAAGGGATTTTAGATTCATTTTCATTTTCCAAAGTTAACTTTGTGGCTGGATGGCATTTGTTGAGTATTTGCAGTAGTTGATTGAGATCGTGACCGTCATCACAGATGATAAAGATGTCGTCAACATATCTAACGTACAACTGGAAATTGTCGATGGTTGATTTGAGTGGGCCGTTCTCGAGGCTTGCCATGAAGCAGTCTGCTAGTAATGGGCCCAGTGGAGATCCCATTGCGATCCCATCTTGTTGTCTGTAAATAATGTCGTTGAATGTGCATTGCACATTGAGTGTACATCTCAGTAGTAGTTCTTTTAAACAGGTCGTCGGTAATCCGATGTTCAGCTGATTTTCGTCGATATAGTAACAAATATAAGAGACAGTTTCTGTGAGTGGAACGTTGGTAAATAGTGTTCTTTAATTGCTTAGAATTCTTGTATTTGCTTAGAACTCTTACGTAATTTCGTATTCTCTTCTTTGTTTCTATGTGCGTCCTGAGTAAAACTCACTCATCAAACTATTCATATTATTACATAACTTCTTTTAACAGCTGTTTGTGACAACTCATCACCTTTGTTACTACCCTGATTCCATTAACACCCAATTTTTTTGACTTGTATTACCAATCTTCACCTGTTTTGTTAAAATAACCATAACCAATTGTGATTTTGTTTAACAAACTTAATGTACACATACATACAAAGTAACATATAAATTTGCGATTGTACAGCTATGAAAATGAATTCGCCGAAAAGAGTCTTTTCGCTGATCTACGTGTTTTGTTTTGTTTTCATTAATGCCTGAATGGGAATTATCCATGAACTCACAAAACCGACATGATCTCTTCACTCAATACCATTTAAAGCCAAAGGAAATAAAACTAACACTATTCACAAAGTGGAGTGCACAAACTGCAAAACATTAAATTTTCAAAATCGGACGTCCTCTTCATTTTCATATCCATGATCACAAAAGAGCAGTCAAAAGACTTGAAATATATCTCATCAATTTAAATGGGATAATATAACAATTTCAGACAAATGAAACAGAAATAACGCCAGAGAATTTCTAGAGTCCTGGTACTACAGTCAATTACCAATTAAAAGACATGATAATAAGGATCAAATTTAAAAATCAACATAGCATAAGTCACTCAACCGAAAAGTCATACATGGGGTCACTAGGAGGATCAATATCAATGCAAGTTGAGACAACAACAAGGAAATTAACAGGGATAACCTATGACAATCAAGTTCACCAAGAAAAAAGTACTTTATCTATGGAGAATTCCCAAAGCTCACTACACACTGAAGTGGGCACTGAGGATGCTGTCTGGGAGGACAATAAAAATCCACCATTAAACCACCTAGCTCAGCAGACAACAATCATGAGAGATACAAAATTCCTCCATCATTTCACAAAGATTTTAATCAATCAGGGCATCAGCTCGTCTTCTGAAAAACAGTCCCACATGACATGGTAAGAGAAGTCCAATGTAATAGAATCTTTAGATCTAATTTAATGATATTTCTATATTATTCATCATCCACGAAAGCAAATGACAACGTGAAATCATAAGTATAGCACAGGTTAATTGATTGTAGGTCACCATGACAACAACTTAAAATACTATTAGATAAGTTGAAAAAAATATATATTCAGCCGTGGAATGAATACTTACCTAGCCCTGCCATCTACTACCCATACTGTTGGTTTGAAGGACACAAACCACAAAAATAAATAAAAAACTAGGCTTTTAAATTCTCTTGTAAACAAAAATATAAGGATAGAAATATGCCTTTTATATTTCCTTGAGGAAGACATTAATTACCTCGAAATTCTTGAACACATTCACCAGTTAACACATTCCATAAACGTAAAGTTGTATCGCGGCTACCTGTAACAACTAAATGACTATTTTCAAAAGTCTCTTGTTTAAATATCTGCTCGCCTGCATCGGGTTTGTTTGATTCTGAGTTGTTATTCATGAGATTAACATTTATGTTTCCATAAGCATTATCATAATGATGTCCGTTATCATTACCGTCATTCCCTTTGTTAGCCGATATATTTGATAGAATATATTCTTTTTCAGAAATATTATCCCCGATAATATTGAAATTATCAATAGCATCGCCACTATTATCGTTTGAGCACATATCTGGACCAAGTGTACTAGGATTATTTCCACTGACGTTGCAATTACAACTATGAGTATTGTTTAAAACAAATTTTGGAGCAGAGCATGGTTTTTGGCTAGCTAAACATCGGATAGTTGACTGATGTCCAAACAATGTAGCTATGCAAGGCCAACGATGACCGTCTAATTGCCAAACACGTGCAGTTCGATCACAACTACCTGATATAAGTAGAGGATATTGACTGAACGGATGATAATCCTTTTTTGCTGGATAAAATTGACTCGGTATAACAGTCATTGACCAAACGCCACCGAGATGACCAAACAAGTTTATTAAACACTGGCCAGTATTTATATTCCATACACATATACTAGAATCATCTGATCCAGTGATCGCCCATTCTTCATAAACTTCTAAACAAGTAATAACATGATTCTACCACAAACAAAAGACAAAAACGCATTATTATTCCTTAAATTATCATTATTATCATTATGCTTAAAAATAAACACTAATATGATTTCGATTTTTGATTACAGCTTGATTCCACACCGTATTTTTGGTACAGATACGGAATTTTCAGAATGTGATATCGGTAGCCCAAATTTTGCAGGCCGACCATAGATATCAGGTGTACGTCGGCAGGGGATCGAACCCCGGACCATGCGCATGATCGGCTAGAGTCATAACCCCTGTGCCACCGTTATGGAAGAAAATACATGAATCATATGAAAAGATAATTGTCTAGAATATGATTTAATTTAATAGTATGTCGATGGAAAGGTCTCAGGAAGTGCTATGAACTAAACCCTTTAACAATCAGTAGTTGATAATAAAGAAGTAACATGTTTGTATTCGTAGATGTTGGTTATTCAACTCGCATAGTCCAAACTTAGTGTACGACAGGAGAGACAGCTTATTGTGAATTTGTCGTGGCAGCATTTTTCACACAGTGAATATACTCTTTTCCTCAGCTTCCACCGTTCACTTCTTTTTATTACCTACGTCAATTTACCCCGCACGTTATATATTTTTTATATTTCACTCCATTTGATGAACAAACAGTTTCAGTGTTCCATGTATAAAACGTAAGCGGGATCCTTTGGGTCTGAGTTCGTTTTGCGTTTCCTTGTCTATCAGTTTCTTGTTTTCGGAGTTCTCTAAGCTCTTTTGTGATTCATTCCTCACCGTTTTCCGTTAAATCTTTTTTGCGACCATGCTTTCTAAATCTGGTATCGTTTAGTACTTCATTCATCTTAGAAATGAAGTTTTTTATATTCATTGTAACAGCCTTCCGAACGCTTGTCGGGAGGATACCAAAATTTTTGTTGTTTCTTAATTCGATTAAGGCTGATTGATGTTCTTGAGGGAGAAGTTTATATTGAATAAAGGTAAATACACATACTTCTACTTAGAAATGTACAATAATTTGGATTTTAAACGACCTTCGTCAAAGGATTGGGGGAAGCCGAATTAATGAACTCAACTCTCGAAATGAGATGCTGCATTCGGCCTGCTGATAATTTTGTTTACTACTTGCACCGAGTATGGAGATTATGGAGATATTTTACACACCCATAAACAGATCTAAAATATGCTTGATGAAACTTGGCTCACTTAGCACTAACATATTGAAGCTGAGGCCACAAAGCGCACCTACTTGACGGTAAGATTAACTAGTCGTAAACCAATTGTCAATCCTACTTACTAATGTATCATCATTACTTTGATATTAACGATAAGACAATAAAAACCACCATCGAAAACCTACAGCTTCCACGAATCATTTATATATAACGGATGTATTACATCGTCATTTACCAACATACTGCACCACAGTGAAATTAACTCACGTATCCACAGATATTCCACCACTATACCACAAACAAAAAATATCCGTAGCCATACTACGGCAATCTCACGAAAACTATACATCAACGAAAGCGGACAGATAACTAGTTACATACCATCACTCACTTCTAAATCACAAGCAACAATCAAGAACCCTATACACAGAGAAAGCCCACTCGAAAAGAAATTATTAGCCAGCTGTAAAATAGTTAATCAATGCCTATTTAAGAAATCAAATCCCCTACCGAATTGAATCAAAGGTGTGAATACATGAAATACAATTAAAATATGTGTGATCATACATCTTATGAATTTTTCTATATATGGCATTAATTGTTTTCCTTCTTAACATTTAAAGATGTTGCAAAGGAGTGCATAATTATACGGTTAGTAGGCTAATATGAAACTTTACCTAACATAGTGCCGGTAAGACAACACCTATGCAAATACTCTTCGCGATACTTTTGAGTTCATTGAATGCATAAAAGATTTGAATGTAAATGATAAACGAATGTTATCGCTAGATGTCGAATCTCTCTTCACCAACGTGCCACTAACAGAAACAATTTGCTTTCTGTGCAATTATATGGAGAAATCCAATATAAGTGTCGGAGTTTTTTTTCCTTCACGTTCCCCAGTGGCTTGAAGTTTCTATAGCAGTGTTTATTTTACAGGATGGGTTTGTTAACCTCATGCCAAACCTTTCCTCTTTACCAGCTTCTATTTGTGGCTTAGCGAGGTAAAGGAGTGCGTCTGTCGGGGATCGAACCCTGGACCAATCTAAGAATCTAAAAAGTCAATAGAAGCTTCCCGAAAATGGTAGGCTTCCGTATATTTTGCATTGCCAAGGCCTTAGCGATCTAGATAGAAAACCCCAATTTATGCACACAGAAGAAACTTCTCCACCCCCTCCTCCAAGTTCTACTATTTTGTTAATGTTTTGTTTGTTTGCTTTTATGGATTTTTGTATGACATCTTCTTCTTAACCAACCCTTTACTAACTCTCTCTACCCATTACATAGTTTATTTTGGACACGTGTCTCCATAACATCCCACTTCATATCACGCAACCCTTGTCAATACTTACAAATCTTCACCCCCCCCCTCAAGTTACAATTTTGATTATTCATCACACTTTAGGAACATTTTGATAACGTAAACAATAACCCTAACTAATTTTTGCGATTGTACAGCTAAGTGAATGAATTCGCCGGAAAAAGACTCTTCACTGAACTTTGTTGTTCTTATATTCATGTCTGGATGGGTATTTTCCGTAAACTTGTAGTTATGGTTGCATTGACTCAGAACTTGCCTTCCTAAAAGCCACACTTGCAGAAAACGGTTATCCGAACCGACTTAGTAACAATAATATAAAAAGTAAGCAGTATAAACTGGTCAGTTCCAAAGAAAACCGTATTCATGAACTCGGGATTCAAAGGTGATCAAGCTGCAGATATGCCCAAAAACCGTCTCTCTAAATCAGTCAGTAAAACGTTCTTTGCTGCAAAATTACAAATGACTTTCACCAGCCGCAAGTTGTTCTCCATCTCTGTAAAAGATAAGCTCCCTCGTCTGACCGCCTCCATGTGCATTTATCAGTCCACCTGCTCTCGTGAAACAAGGTACGTTAGCCGTAGCCAGAGAATGATTTCCACATGGATACGAGAACATATTCCAGCATGGTTTTACAAGGGAGAAAGGAAGGGTGTGCGAGGCTCTATTCTAGAACACTTGATCGACTCCTGTTACTCTACCAACCCGGAACATGATTTTAAGATCATTTATCGAATCCATGCTAACTTACCGCGTTTTCTTCGTTATAAACTTCTAAAGACAACCAAGGCCTGCCATTCATGAATTTAATTCAGACTTTTGTGTTCAAAAAGAGTATGTACAATCCCTACTTCTGCCTTGGTCTTAGAGGGATGGACATTTGAAAGAGAGAACACGAAGTTCAGCAAAGATATCTTTCCGGCGATTTCATTCTCAAAAGCTGTACAATCGCATTTATATAGATTATTTTACATGGATACAATTATTATTTGTTTAATTCCATGTAGTAACGAAGGTGATAATACTTTTCAACTTGATATGAAAGTTTGAAGGTACGAATGTAGATTACAAGGGGCTTAGAGACAAGATTTCATAGGATTAGAAAATGGTTACGTATGCAAAAAATTAATATTTGATAACTGGAGAAATAATTTTAAGTCAAATAGAAGATGATAATTATTGTCGACTTGATATGAATTGCAAGAGGCTTAGAAACGGAGGGATAGAACGAATTACAGGTGTGAACAGAATGAGCATGGAAACAAATTGAAATCAAAATTTTCAACTTGAAATGTTAGTTAGGAGGTGTGAATATAGATTACAGGAGGCATAGAAACAGGAAAATTACACAGGATCAGAATATAATTGAAAAATATTCATTCTAAACGGATTACAAGTGTGATCAGGAGGAGCATGGAAACAAACTTAAAATAACCAGTTTTATAACTGAAAATTTGAATTAATAATCTGAGCTTGAAATGAAAGTTAGGTGTGAATATAAATTACAATAAATGTATCCATGTAAAATAATCTATATAAGTGCGATTGTACAGCTTTTGAGAATGAAATCGCCGAAAAGATATTTTTGCTGAACTTCGAGTTCTCTTCTTTCTAATGTCCATATGGATAGACATTTATTTATTTATTATGTTTCTTTATTTTCTTTATGTAGTTAATTCATGCGCCTTTCGCTCACTACTACGATTATTACTATGATTATCATCATCATTATTATTCTCCCTTTGAATTGTTTTCATTTGCCCCACTTGTCATTCTAAATCCAGAAATGTCTTTACAATATTGAATTCTATCTCATCAAATTTCACACTATGTTAGGTAAAATTTCATATTAGCCTACTAACCGTATAATTATGCACTCCTTTGCAACATCTTTAAATGTTAAGAAGGAAAACAATTAATGCCATATACAGAAAAATTCATAAGATGTATAATCACACATATTTTAATTGTATTTCATATATTCACACCTTTGATTCAATTCGCTCACCGGATATAATTTCCTAAGAAGCGATATATAGACATTTTCACAGCTGTGTAATAAGTGCATTGAGAAGTCTTTCCGTTGACTGTTGCGTTCTAAATAACTTTTAGGAAGATAAATGTTTTAAAAGCATTTTGTTGAATTGGATTACTTTACTGGGATTTTAGTGCGGGTGGAATAATCTGCGTACACACACGTATCATTCCCAGGTGAAAGTTTATTTTCAACACTTTCATTATCCAAAATGACGATGACCGCTGGTGATTAAGTAGAAATAATTTAATAAGAACTGAAGGACTTACGTGATGAGCTGGTGCAACAATTGGCTGCCATGGTCCACCATTTCTCCAATTACATTGAGTATGCAAATCTTGACGATAGAAGGACTTCCAATTAACCTGTTTAATTAAAAACATAATCAAATTCAGTAACAGCATACAGTAAAGACTCAAAGGAAGAACATATATGTAACCCAACGATTATTTCGTTGTCATAGGATGTTCATTTTGTGGATAGCAGATGGATTAGTGTTCATATTCATGATCCTATAGTTGGGAGTCTGGTGATTAACATGACTAACAACAATAGCAAACGAAGTGAATTTTCAATTCTTTAAAAAAAGGTTTAGAGGAAAAATCTAATCCACAATGCTCAAACTTTTTACTGATAAAAATCAGTAGGTCTAGTTAATTGAATGCCCCTCTTAAGTCTTCGATATAATCTGCAACAAGTTGTTAAAGGGCACTTAAAAAAACCGAATGACGTGTGAATAAGCATACCTGAAGTGAGCCACTCGTTAGACAATCGCTAGATAGATGAACAGACAGAAACGTATGCAAAAAAGTGTTGCAAAGGCTTACAGTCAAAAAATATTGTGGAGTAGGAAAAGAAGGGCTATTTAAGCAGACAGGAAATAAACTTGTGATAACGTATGGTAATCTTGTGGGAAATATAGAGGACATCTTAACGCCAAGCTGCCTGAACATAATGCAAGACAACTGTAAAGGCATATGCTGCTCTTCAGAAATTATTGGGAAGAAACTAGTTTTTGCTTCAGTATTTGACAGGAAACTTATCCAAGATCTTCAATGAAAAAGTAACACGTGAGAATTTCGACAGGAAATTTATCTGACATCAATTATCGATCTACTCGTAGCTTGACTGCTTCAAGTAAAATTAGCAATGGTTGGAAGATTTCATCGTGAGCTGACATCAGTTAGTGAACCATTGGAAAGCCTGGGAGTGGGAAGCCGTGACCAGTAGGGTGCAGCAGGTTGAAGGTGAGGCAGTAACTCATCGAAAAAGACATTGCGAAGTGGTCGCGCTATGTGGTGAATTGACAGAAGTTTGAATTCATGCACTGCCAATAGGATCGGGTCCCAGTGGCTGAATGGTCTATGAACTCGCCTTGTAACCAGAAGGTCCTGGGTTGAAACCCCGGTGAGTGTGTACTTCTGAAGGGACCCAAACTAAGATTAAACAGCTGTCCAGTAATCCCAGGCTTTCCAATGGTTCTCTAACTGATGTCAGCTCATGATGAAATCCTTCAACCAATCAAACGAAAAATCCCTACAAAACGAATACTTTAAAATTAGCATTGTTTAGTGCACCTTTTTGTCTTGGCGCTATTTCCTAAAAATGGTATCAAAAAAATCTCGGAGTGAGTTCTTAGGTAGTCGTCTACATTCACAGCTTTTATATGGATATTTGGATGGTGATAAGAAAGTATATCTGAACAAAGCGTTGAATCCCTTGCAGGACAGTACAAATTTTCATAAACAAGTGGTTAAATGCACCCTCGGATTCTGCAGATTATTAGATGTTAGAACTATTAATAACCGTTGTGGCAACAGTCACTGGCATTTTGACTTTTGGTTTTGTAGTCTCTCTTTTTCTGCTTACGCTTTCAGGTAATTGTAGCAACGAAGATTAGTTTAAAGGGGGCTATTACAGGTGTTGTACCCACAGCTATGAGAGGGAAGATTCATGGAATTTAAAATATGTAATAAGCTTTTTCATTTGATGCAGTATGTCGGATGGCCTACAATCTTGTTCCTTGATAGGTCATAAATGTTTGGCAATGGACATTCCAACCTTCGTGAGATACATTTGAAAAGTTTTCCCAGTAAACTAAAAAAATAGTGTGAGTCTGGATTTCTGTGAGCTAACTGTACTCATTTATCCGCGAATCAAGTGGATGATGTGACTATGCTCAGAGTAGTTTATGGTTAATTCTTTACAACAAAGATTTTACAGTTTCAACTTTTGGAAGACAGTGTTAATAATCACGTCAACACAACGAAGTTTATGCGAGAAATGACCTCTAATACAGCAAAGAGAAGTAACGTTTAAAGTGGACATGGGAAAAGTGTCAAAAATAAAGTGTATTGCATACACAAAGACAGGTGATTGAGCTCATGACCATCAAGTTGATATCATAGTTTCTATTATCTCACACAAGTCAACCCCTAACTTAGTGATAGGGAGTGAAGTGATAGAACATGTTGACCACTTCACCTACTTGGGAAGTTGTATTAGCACCAACGGACTGATTGGCGATGAAATCTCAGCACGGATCCGAAAAGCTCGAGCTGCTTTCGCTGACTTACACCATCTCTGGCGTAGGCGTGACATCCGGTTATCAACCAAGGGACGTGTGTACTGCTCATCAGTTCGCTCCGTCCTTCTCTATGGCTCTGAAACATGGCCAATACGCGTTGAAGACATGAAAAGGTTGACTGCTTTCGATCATAGATGTCTGCGATCTCTGTCTCACGTTAGGTGGTTTCACAAGATAAGTAATGTTGACGTTAGGCGTAGAGTGTTGGGCAAAGAGGGAAAATCAATCGACGAGGTTATAAAGTTACATAGACTAAGATGGCTAGGTCACGTGCTGCGCATGCCTAACCACCGCCTCCCCCGACGGGCTTTGCTAGCTGATATAGGTGCGTGCAGGTTGGAAAAGAGCCAGTGGTGGCTAAACAAAAACATGGCCTCATCAATCCATGAAATCCTTGACAGTTAAACTGAGTCAGGTAGGGAGATGCAGACTCCCGGGTTGGGGCCCTCGGGACTCTAGGAATCAATGGCTGGAGACAATAGGTGACATGGCTCAAAATCGTTGTCAATGGCGCAGATGTATTCAATCTCTGTAATCTTTCATATTCCTTTCTACCATTACCCATTGTTTCACTCTTATATTTGTCAAACTCTATTAATTCTCTTCACTCATCTTCTTGTCTACTTTTGTGTGCTATTTGGAACGTGGCAACTCGAACTGCTGCACTTCGGTGCCAAGTTCTATGTTGAATCCAGACAGACAGATGTGGGGGGAAGATGGGCATCATACAGATCAGTGCTTTACCTGGTACGAAGAAATATACAAAGGATGCGTTCTAAGTTCACTAATCGTTGTTAAATTGCTATCTTTTCAGCGCTTATTGTTTTCATTTCACCCTTCTTTTTATTTGTTTTTTTTTCAAAGTGTACCACTTTGAACTTACGCACTTCTCCGTAGTTGCAAATTAGTTTGTTTATCTTTGTCAGCCTAATCAGTTGAATAATAAGTAGCTATTCATTAAAAAAGCCACAAAATCGTCGTTCAACAACTTACAACGCACTAGAGTATTTAGCTAACATTTAATTAGTTACCCACTTGAAACTAATTTCAGTACGGTGTACTATATATTTTGATGGCAAGTTGAAATCAATTCAAATTAATTAAGAAAAGAATTTTTTAAATGGCACACCCAGATATTAAGAAAATTACCTTGTTTATAAGAGAACATTTTGACGAACTGACGTTTGAAGACGAAAAAGATGTTGACTCATCATTTAGTTGGATATGATCACTTTTTACGCTAACATTGCTCACATATTTTTTAACACCCTCAGAAGTATTCTTTTCCTCAACACCGTCACTAGAAACAACATCCGAATTACTGGCTACAACATTATCAATACGATATTTTGCATCATTATAAGCGCTAATGACAGATTTATTGGTACATAATGGACAGTTATTGCATCGAATAGCTGCAATTAGTTATTTATATTTGTAGTCATTATTCTTGAAATTAAACGAATTACCTGGATGATATTCGATCATGGATTTCAGGCATAATGAACTACATAATCCAGAAGATACACACAAATAATACCACAACAGGTTGTCGCTACAAACATGCAGCCAACTTTGAGAGACCTGTGGAAAGAAAGATATGAGGCAAAGTAAAAATACCATGGGAGAAGTTGAGAAAAGTTAAGCTCCAAAAGGATAATAGTGTTACACACTATACAATCATCTCACATTTTTATAACTGGAGCCATATACACTTCATCCCTTAGTTCTAAAGCAGGAAATTTGGTTGGTAAATGTCTCAATGTAACTTTACTGAAGTTTGTATAGCATTCAGCTGTGAAGTGAATTTATAATTTACACTTGTTGGAAATGTAAGAATTAGTCAACCTTGCTTATTTGTAAAAGCAATGAATAGTGAGTGTGACAATGTATACAGCATGACTTGCAGGTAAATTATTTCAGATACAAACCGTTGATTATTCCAGTATGGATATGCAACGCCGTTAATGCATTTATAATGGTACATCTACAACACTTCAATTTCCTAAGCAAAAACTTATACTGTTCAAATAAGACACTGAATAAAGAACTCAGTAATATTCGTGATCAAATAAGGAGAAACGGATATCCAATTAAATCCGTAAACAAACACATGAACTCAGAAAGCAAAATGTCGAAGGTGCCGACTGTTCCCAAAGAATCAGTCTTCCTAAGATTACGATTCACGGGTGATGTCAAAAGTGAGACCTTATCACAACATCGGAGAAGGGTCTTCAAAGGGACTTTCAACGCAGCTAAGCTATGCTGTATGTTCACCAGCCGACTAATACTTAGTTCAGGAAATAAAAACAGAATGACCTTTTTCGCCTCTTTCATGTATATTTACCAGTTTAACTACCCGTGTGGAGCTAGTTACATACGGTGTAGGATCAGGTAAGTTCATCGTCAAATTTCTGAACACCTCGTTCCATCTTCGTCTGGCAAATGTCCGAATAAAGCTATACGCAGCTCAAGTCGTCGATACTGTACATCAAGTTGACTATAACAAAGCTTTAAAAGTTACTTATCGTATATCACCCAACCTCTCGCATGGTCTACCAGTACGACTATTACATACATCAGAGGCAATGGGAATTCACCTGAACAAGCCAAATCTGTGTGTTCAAAAGAAATTTGTACACCTTTCTTTGCCGTGGCCAACTACATAATATATATTAAGTTTTTAAAAACGAATTTCCCCTCTCCTTGTAACTATCTTTTGACTTTGTTAATTTTTTAAAATTCTAGCTAATTTTATTAACTTGTCTGCATTTTACGTGATTCTTCTGAGTTATCCTATTCTTCATAGTCATCATTATTTTACAAATCTCTTGATTATGTAATAACTCGTTGCTAACGCCTAAGAAACAGCTTATCTTGAATTCCATTAAAATTTTCAACCCTCCTTTAAAACGTAAATATCTTGATACTAACATATATTCGTTAATTATTTTGGCGATCTTTGACCTCATATATTTACAGGTATTAGTTTGTAGGGACTTTGTCTGATTCAATGGAGGATTTCATCATGAGCTGACATCAGTTAGAGAACCATTCGAAAACCAGGGAGTACTGGACAGCTATTTCGTCCTAATAAGGGACTCCTGTATCCAGAAGGTCCTGGGTTCAAACCCCGGTGGGTGCGCACTACTGAGGAGTGCTAAACTAGGACTAAACAGTTGCCCAGTACTCCCTGGTTTTCCAATGGTTCTCTAATCGATGTCAGCTGATGATGAAATCCTCCAACTTTCGACCTCTTAATTTCACCCATATACCTAAACCTGATTAACTAAAATAACCACCTGATTGGTAAATCTTTGAAGTAAAAAAACTATATATTGGTGTAGAGCCAATGATGAGGAACTAGTTGGAAAGGAATATGTTTCTTCGCTTAATCTGTTGTTTTTTCTAAATGCGTAAAAGGGTTATTCTGTTTGGCCTTAGTTGTATACAAATCCGAGATGCACTGAGCAAGATAACTTCGGAAAAAAATCTTCCATTCCAAAAGCAACCATAGGAACGACTATGCGATATCACTTCTTGAAAAAAACAAAATATTTAAGCTGTGGAAACTGTAGATTATATCTGCAAACGGATGATAGACAGAAAGTCCTAGTGAAACTGGAAAATAGTTCTTGGAAATATGAAGATGTGAAAATCGTAGTTTATGATAAGTGTTCATGTAATGGTTTAATTTTGAGCCATTTTAACAGTACTCCCTCCGAAGTCCAGTTGACCTACCTAGGAGGACATAATCACTGCACTTTTTTCATGTTTCACTTACGAGAAGGAAAGATGAATTCATCACAAGAATCACATTGAGGAAGCTACAGATGAAAGATCAAAATACACACTTTCTTGGCTTTATACCATTAAAACAAGCGTATTCTGATCAGATGCGTAGCATTTACAGCAAGATACATTCGAAGACTGTAGAGTAAGAACTCCACAACACTCATGAGGATCTAAGCGAAAATAGATAACCGGAAATTTGCTTAAAAAAATCAAAAGCTTACTGTAGACGCGAATACGGACCAGTAACGATAGGGAAAAAGTTATTACTTTTGCGTTTACAATTCAAGGGGGACACTTCTACGGAGATCCTATCCCAACATCTAATCGCGACAATAAGGAGGACTTTCTACTCTGGACATCTGTACACATCCTGCAGTAGCCATCCAGTGTTTACCTCGAAAGTGAGAGATGATTTTACCTAGCTTTAGATCTTTCTGATGCATATACTGTTTCAACTGTTTCTGTGGATTAAGGCAGTATGATTAAACAGGTTTCCCCAAGCACTTGAGAATACTGAACAAACTGGTTCATAAAGGTCTAAGTCAAATGCATAAACAGTTCAATTATATTACACTTAGCAGATACAGGTCATTGAACTGACGTTAACATAGTTTTTAGGGTTACATACCACATTCCGAAGTCATTATCATGCACAGTTAGCCTACGTCTTCTGCATATCGCTGAGGCTGTTGCGATAAAATCGACTAAATCAGGACTTCGTATTCCAAAATAAAACACCTCTAGGTGATGTTCCTACCATAGTCAAACTTATATGAAAACTCCCTTCCACCCCCATGAGTTTATTTTACTTTTCGTCTTTTTACTCTTCGTTTAAACAGCCTTAGTCATAACATTTTATAATTTATACTCTTAATTCTAGAATTCTTCAGACGCTACCCAATCATCCACTTATATATATATATATATACAAACATTGACAAACTATTCTCATTTATTATCAGTGTTATTATTTGTTTTCAACTTATATGACTCCTTCATTCATCTCACATGCTGATAATTTTATGACAAATTATTCACCTCACTCATACTTTATGTTGTTTAATGCATACTATCTTCGTACTAGCCATTCACCAAACACGCTTTATAACCTTGAAGCAACTTGCGAGTTTCCCTTCCTCTAATTGTATGATCGTATTAGGAGTGTTCTTTGTGTTAATCTATTTCACACTATTTTGTTTTTGAATACAACTTATCAACTTTGTCGTACAAGTTCTATTTGTTTTGTTACCTTGTAATTAATTATTATTATTATTATTAAAACACACACTTGATGAACACCAAGAGATGCACCACACAAAAAATAATAGGACAATGAATAAAGGAAATATGAACAGAAAGCAAAAAGCACACTTGTGAAGGATTTATCACTAATTCGCGATACTTTCAGAAAAAGAAGAAAGATTGCAGTATTCTGACCACTGATTACGACTTTTTGTAATATATGAGGATTTACTGAGCTCATCCATGGAGTTTTGACTCATCAACAGAGGCTAACTTGACACAAATAACTTTCATTTCAAGGCACCACATAGAAGGTTGACACCTCTCTGAAGTTTCTATCCAGTCCCAGGGCTAGCGAACAGCAAGAGTTATGGGAGCCTCTGGGATGACATTTGCAGCCAGTGAAGCTGATGTTCAAAGATGGCATTACTCAATGAAATATCACTTCCACCATGTCCAAAAACGCTGCCGGACCTTATAATTACTTAGACGATGATACCATTGAAAGCAAGCGCTTCTACGGGGACAGCAATAATTGAATATGCAGTCACCTCACACCTTCAGCTTAGAGAGGACGGGTTTCACGGGTGTAGTCTGTCTGTCTGTCTGTTTTCGACATAGAACTTCGCACATATGTGCGGAAGTTCAAGTCGCCACAATCCGTGTAGCACGCGAAGCAAGAAAAGAAAGTAAAAGAAAAGCATACTAGAGACAGTGAGCAGAGATGTAAGACAAAGCAGTAATAAAGAAATACAAAACAGTTTCATTGGAGATCATAAGTCACAAGGAGTGGATGCACCGGCGCCACTGAGAACGATTTTGAGCCATGTCACCAATTGTTTCTAACCACTTGTTTTTACCGTCCCGAGGACCCCAGCCTGGAAGTCTACACCTTCCAACGTGGCTTAGACCAACTGTTGTGGATTTCATTGACTGATGCCAAGTTTTTGTTTGACCGCCGCTAGCTTTTTTCCAGCCTGAGCCTATATCCGCTAACATTGATCGTCGAGGGAGGCGATGGCATGGCATACGCAACACATGTCCTAACCATCTCAGTCTTTGTAACTTCACGAATTCGTCGATTGATTTCCCCTGTTTACCTAGAACTCTACGCCTAACCTCAATGTTGCTCACCTTATTATGCCACTTTACACGGGAAATAGAACGCAGGCATCTATGGTCAAAGACAGCTAGTCTTTTCATGTCTTCCACTCTCAGTGGCCAGGTCTCACAACCATAAAGGAGGACGGAGCGGACTGATGAACAGTACACCCGCCCTTTGGTCGATAGTCGGACATCTCGTCTACGCCAGAGTCGGCGTAAACTAACAAATGCGAAACGAGCCCTCTGTATTCGTGCTGAGATTTCGTCAGAGATCAGCCCGTTGGGGCTGATGGTACTTCCCAAATAAGTGAAGCGGTCAACGTGCTCTACCACTTCACTTCCTATTTTTAAACTAGGCGTCGATGTAGTCCAGTCTAGTCCTGTAACATCATCTTGCATTTGGCGGGAGCGAATCGCATGCCAAACATTCGTAGATTGCGGCT